AGAAATACTTACAATTTTAAAATACTTACAATTTTCCTATTCGTTATTAACTTTAAAATACTTACAACTTTCCTATTCATTGGAATAAAAAATTGGGAAATGGACTTAATAAGGTAATTAATTTTCCAGTTTGTTTACATCTGGGTAACTATCTTTTTTTTTTTGTACACATCTAGGTACGAACTCTTTGGAGTGTTCACATATGTCCATTATGACCGACTGTAGCATGTTACATCCAATCATATGTGAACACTTTCAAAATGTTCCTTACCTAGATGTGTACAAAAAAAAAAAGATAGTTACCCAGATGTGAACAAACCGTAAATGTAAAAGTAAATTACACGAATAGTCCCTGTAGTTTGGGTAATTTATATGTTTGATCCTTAACTTATTTTTTTTAACTTGGATGATTTTTACTGTTTGTTTTTGTTGTGTGTTTGGTCCATATCTTACCTTAAAAGACTATTGTGTATTTTTTAATTTATTTTAATTATTTTTTTATTTATGTATTTATTTTTATATATTTTAAAAAATTAATAAACCTCACATATTTCTATATCCTCACCTTAAACCTGAAACAAATATGTGGTTTCGGGTTTACGGTGAGGAGATACAAATATATTGGGTGTATTAATTTTTAAAATATATTAAAAATAAATACATAAATAAGAAAATTAATTAAAAAATAAATTGAAAAATGGCACAACAGTCTTTTGAAGTAAGACAGTGGTCAAACGCACAACAAAAATAAACATAATGGGATCATCTAAGTTAAAAAAAAAAAGTTAGGGTCCAAACACACAAATTACCCAAACTACAAGGATCATTCATGTAATTTACTTTTACCTTTTCAATGTGTTCACAACTGGATAACTATCTTTTTTGTACACATATTGGTAACAAATTTTTTGGAAGTGTTCACGTATGATCATTATGATCAGATGTAACCTGTTATAGCCGGTCATAATGATCATATGTGAAGATTTTCAAAAGGTTCGTTACCTATATTTATATTTGTAAAAAAAAATAGTTATATAGATATGAAAAACTAAAAAGTTAAATAAGTTCATTTCCCTAAAAACTTATAAAGAACGTTATTATTTTTGTCTTTTTATCTATATTAATAACATCACCGTTTTACATGACTTCTTTTACCATCTTATATAACTTTTCAACCAATTTTTTACCATTTTTTGTACTTGTTATATAAAATAGGAAAAATAGTTATTATATTATATTGTTACTAAAACAATAGGGAACAAAGCAATCTCATTTCTTTTTCCACCTGGATACTTACACTATTCTTTCCATTTTCATGCTGCAAAACCCTTCCATCTTCAATGTCCATGTCCTTAAAAGAACTCGATTACATTTCCTCATCAGAAGCAGAAATGGAGAAAATAACCCACAAGCAAGATTTGAATTTGAAAGCCACCGAGTTAAGACTCGGTCTGCCTGGTTCCGAGTCGCCTGAGAGAAACACCATCAACGGAGGTGGTACAGCTGCCCTGAAGATTCTGGTGTCAGGAGCCAAAAGGGTTTTCTCAGACACCATTAAAACTTCTTCTGCAACATGGGGTTTTTCTGATAACGGTGGATCTGAGGTTGATTTTGTTAGAAATAGTGCCTTTTTTTCATCTTCTTCGTCTTCTCCAAGAGGTGAAAATAAGAACCCTAGTTCTGTAAAAGACGCTGTTGTTTCATCGTCATCTAAAAACTATTTACATGACAAACACTCTCAAATTTCTGCATCAAATGGTCAAGATTCAGTTGCTGCTTCAAAGTAAGAATTTTGCTCTCTTCTTTGCTAGTTTGATAAGCTTCACTTTGATAGTGAAACTTGTACTAAACATATTTATATCTTTTAATTGCATCTTTCTACGTTTTTAAAACAAATATTTTCATTATTTATACTACTTTTTGTACTATTTCATGTCATGCGGAATTTTTCTTGAAAGAACGGCTAATCTTTGAGTCAATATTGAAACTCAAAGTAGTTCTGTTGACTTTTGAAGTCAAAATATAATTCCAATAGAAGACTGAGGGAGTATTTCTTTTATATATTGAATACTGAATAGTAACATGAACTGGTTTATATATATAATTAGGGGTGTTTGGATGTCCGTTTAATAGCCATAATCAGTTTTAAAGGTTTTAATAAAACATAATACGCTCAAGAAGCCTAAAATTACCCGATTATCCCTAGATTTAAACAAATTATGATTTTTCAAGTATTATAATCATTTGAAAAATCACTCTTAAATGTGTGCTTGAAATAAATAAAAAGATTCGGTTGCAAGCTTCAAATTCAGGACTTTTCTCTCTTATTTGCAAGTCTGATAAGTTTGACTTTTGAAGTCAAACTTGTACAACTTAATTTTGTAACTTACATACATTTTTGTATGTTTTGAACAACAAATTTCATATATATTGTTATAGTATTTCCTATACTTCTTTATGGATTCTGGATTTCTTTTTTCCCGAAAGAATGGCTCTGTGTGAATCAATGTTGAAATTAAAGTAATTCTGTTGACTTTTGAAGTCAAAGTACTAAACTATTAATTTAATCGAAGACTTAGGGACTACTTTTTTTATACTGATTATGATTTTTTAGTTTGTAATAATCACTTTCAAAAGCAGACATCTGTAATTTTGTAAACATAAGTAGAAATTTTAGCTCAAATAATATCAATTATGAAACTTAAACTAATGGAAATAAATTACTTAAAGCCGATATACATATACATATGTCATATACACATATTGATTCATCATATGATAACATACATGATCTAAAGAGTCAAAGTTTGACTTTTGAATCAGGGGACAGGTGGTGGGATGGCCTCCAATTCGATCTTTTAGAAAGAATTGTATGGTTGTAAAAAACACGAAAAATGAGGAAGACACAGGATCACAATGTGTTTATGTCAAAGTTAGTATGGATGGAGCTCCATATTTGAGAAAAGTGGATCTCAAAATCTATAAAAGCTACTTGGATCTTTCATCGGCTTTAGAAAAAATGTTTTGTAGCTTCACTCTTGGTAACTTATTTACCTTTTTACCCTCTTAATAATACTAGTTACATTTTGAGTTGTTGTTTCTTTTGACTTAATGGAGACAGACTTGGGCATAAAGAAACATGATTTTATTCTGTTTAACTCTATATGGGTGATTCTTTTTTACTTTATCAAAAAAGAACAACTTTAATAGGGAAAGTTGGTATATATGGTTTTTTTTTTTTTTTTTTACTTTATGCAAAAAGAATGACTTTTTAAAGAAAGTCAAGAAACGAGTCTTTTCCCATTAAGTCTGTCATCACTTTTTAAATATTTATTTTTTGAAATCATTTATCGAGACTTCATTTTTTTAGATGGGAAAAAGAAAGTCGTGTGAGTTGTAGATGCGTGATTTCCAATTAGCGCATATTATGAGTTCTTTTAAATGCTATTAAGGGATTTTAATTATGCTAAGAGATTTCACAAGTTTTAATTTAAAACTTAGCGATTAGGGTTTATGTAAAGTTGTTTAATTTGCTGGAAATTTTCGATTAGGGTTGCGTGAAAGCCCAATGGATCTTCTTAATGGGCCTGAATATGTACTAACTTATGAAGACAAAGATGGTGATTTGATGCTTGTTGGTGATGTTCCTTGGGAGTAAGTTTCATATTCTCAAAATTTAATAAAAGAAAAGCGGATGACTTTTGACTTTTATACCCTTCATTTTAATTGAAGAGAGAGAATCATGATGAGGGGTATAAAAGTCAAAACACCTTTTTTTTTAAATATATTTTGGTCAAATGTGTTGTTTGACTTTTAAAATGTTATCGACTATTGCAGTATGTTTACTGGTTCTTGCAAGAGGATGCGGATCATGAAGAGTTCAGATGCAACCGGTTTAGGTAAAGTCCTAAATACAAGAAACTTGGAATTTTAAATATTCACAGAAAAATCAAGAAAATCCCTTAATTTTGATTCAAGAACACCATTGTTCAGAAAAGTATCAACAAAAGTAATCTTTTTACTTGTTTATTTGAAGAAGAATCAAGAACCCCACAAATCTAATAATTCTCATTATCAATCCTCTATCTTTGAATCCAAATTTTGATCATATGATCATATTTGACGTTTTTGCCCTTGTTTGATTTCTCATTTCACAGCCCCTCGAGCCATGGAGAAGGGTAAAATGGAGAATGGTAAAGTTCGTCATTAGTTGTGTATGTGGTATCATGGAGGAGTAGTAAAACAGATTAACTGATGGTTTGTATAGTTATATTTTCTTGGGAAGTGATCATGTTCATTTTGTGGGTCCCATCTTTAGGCTTACGTATTGCATATATATATATATATATATATATATATATATATATATATATATATATATATATATATATATATATATATATATATATATATATATATATATATATAATTTAAAGATGAATTTATATGCTAGATGTGTACATTGGTTTGACGATATATATATGGTTGTCCATTGGTTTGAAAAAGCTTATTCATTAATTTTTGTTTTTCAATTTCAAGACTTTTTTGGTGTAAAAAAACTCAAGTAGCTCCTATTGTGGATGGTTTTATGGTTTTTTTTTTTTTTTTTTTTTTTTTTTTTTTTTTTTACAAAACTAGTTGATAGTGTTATAAAAGTGTTTGACAAAAGCTGTTGTAAGCTTTTAAAAGATATATATAAAAAAAACTAAAAAGAAACTTAAAGTTAAATACTCTAGAAAATGCTCAACATAAACTTCAATATAAGTATAAATGGGTTTTAATTTTTAAAGGTCCTAATGTATATTTTAAAGTTATACTTAACATATTAATTATTAATAAGAACACCTTAAAAGTGTAGTGAAAAAATATGTTTTAATAGTGTAAAATCAATCTATTGCTTATTACATACCATTTTAATCTCCCCAAAATCTAGCAAACCAATAGATTTGTGTACGGATTCCCTTTATTTTAGGACAATCTTTTTTCACCTATTAAAAACACAAACAATTATTCCAGTCACCTGAAAAAAAGGCTCCAATAATGTCTCCGCCGTTAAAAACCTCCCTCCACCACCTCCTCCTCCCTCTATGCCTTATATTTTCAGTTGCCACCGCCGGTCCAAATGCCAACCTTGGTCCTAGAAAATCCGGCAAGGGCGGCAAAGGCAAAGGTGGTGGCAAAGGTCGTGGACCCGCCATACCGGTGGGACCCGTGCCCCCGATTCCGGCAGCCGGAAACGATTTTCAGACCAATTTTAAGGGTTCATGGGCGATCGACAACCCGAATGCAGGTGTTGCCGCTATGCAATTCCAGTTGATGTCGAACAATAAGGCGGTGTGGTTTGATACGACGTCGCTTGGACCATCTGCCCGGGAGTTGGGCCCACCGGGCAACTGCCCTAAATCGCCTGAGATGAACTTTAAACCCGATTGCTATGCACATGCCATTGCTTATGATGTTGAAACTGGACAAAGCCGGACAATTTACGTGCGTCGTTTTTTTATATATAGTTGATTCCAACGACTTACTAATAGTATCCAATTACAGATTTATTAATTGTTTGACCTGAATTATTCGGTGTTTATTAGGTTGTAAAAAAAATGTTTTAAGCAACTAAACTAGAAAATGTTTTTGACAAAAGTTCTTAACTTTTACAACTTTTGTCAGTGTTGTCCTTTCGACCGTTTTTAGGTCATTAATGCTAAAATTTTGTAATTTTTTTTTCAATTTTATATTTTTACGCATTTTTGGTTCATTAAAGCTTTTGAGTTTAACATAAATGTTTGATTTTGCCGTTTTTTTTCCTAGTTTGTAAAAGTCTTTAAATTTGACAAAAATATTCGATTTTAATGGATATGCAAAATGGTAAAATTGTTTTTACGTATTTCTGTTTGTCCCTTTAACGACTTTTGGGTCATTATTGCTAGACTTTGGTCATTTTCTTTTTTCAATTTTACATTTTTATATATTTTTGGTTTAAAGCTTTTGAGTTTGAGAGAAGTATTTGATTTCGGAATTTTTTTTTAGTTTATAGAAAGCTTTTAAATTTGACAAAAATGATTGGTTTTAGTGGGTAAACCTACAAAAATGATAAAACTGTTTTTTTACAAACTTTTTGTTTTAATAAACCAAGAATCATTGTAGAGAGTAGAGACAAATCCAACAAAACTTATTATAAGTACAAAACAACTAAATTTTTGTTAAAATATAATAAATAAATAAGTCAAAATAAGCGTATTTAGCTAATTTGCAATAGAGTATATTTTGCAGATGGACGGAGAGCCATGGTGTTCGTCGGGAAACCTGTGGCCCAACGGCGACTTGGTGGCTACCGGCGGAACTAAAGGCGGTTCTAGATCCGTTAGATCGTTGTCGTTAAAAGACCCAAAAGCTAACTTTGTCGAGAAGAAAAACATTCTTGCTGATAAGAGATGGTAATTACTAATTACAACTTATAACCCTTTTATTAGATGAAAGTGACAAAAAAAGAAAAAAAAATTCAATTGTTTCAAATTTGACCCTTCGCCGGAAATGATGTTATAGGTATTCATCTAACCAGATTTTAGAAGACGGAAGCGCGGTGGTGGTTGGTGGCCGGAATTCCTTCAGTTACGAACTCGTACCTCCACATCTTTTGGAATTCGCGCCAAAGAAATTCAACCTAAAATTCCTCCAAGAAACCACCGTACCTAGAAAACCCGGCCCTGGAATGTACATCGAAAACAACCTCTACCCCTTCCTCTTCCTCCTCCCCGACGGTAACGTTTGGCTCTTCGCCAACGACCGCGCCATCACCTTCCAGCCACGAACCGGCAAAATTGTCCGGCAGTTTCCTAAATTGGAAGGCGGAGCGCGGAATTACCCACCTTCCGGGATGTCTGCTCTCTTCCCGTTAATCGTCGGCCCAAGGGAGATCCACGCAGAGGTGGTGGTTTGCGGTGGTAATGCACAGGAAGCGTACGCGTCGGTTGACAGCAAACACACGAACAACAAGAAAAGAGTGTTTATGCCGGCGCTTCGAGATTGCCATAGACTGAAGGTGATGAATCCGACTTCGACGTGGGAGAAAGAACAGGACATGCCGTCGGGAAGATGTATGGGCGACCTCCTCCACCTCCCCACCGGCGATCTTTTAATGATAAACGGCGCAACGAAGGGTGTCGCTGGTTGGGAAAACGCTATAGATCCGAATTTCACTCCTGTGTTATACACACCGAATAAACCCATGGGTCAACGATTTAAAGAAATGGCTCCGACGACTATCGCCAGAATGTACCATTCCGTGGCGGCGTTGGTACCGGACGGGAAAGTTTTGGTCGCCGGAAGTAACCCACATGCGAAATACCTTTACAAGGTTCCATACCCGACGGAGCTCCGAGTGGAGAAATTTTCGCCTCATTATCTTGACCCGGCGCTCGCCATCCACCGGCCGGTGGTTTCGCCGGAGGCGTCAGATAAGGTGTTGAAGTACGGGAAAGAATTCAAAATTTCGGTAAAATTTAACGGAGGGAAAGCGAATCCTCAAGATGTGAAAGTGACGATGCTTTATCCTCCATTCACGACTCATGGGTTTTCGATGAATCAAAGATTGTTGGTTCTGCCGCTGAAGACGGTGGCTAATAACTTGATAATGGCCGTGGCGCCGCCGTCTGGAAAGATTGCTCCACCGGGTTACTATATTTTATTTGTGAATTTCCGCGGTATTCCCGCCAAGGGTATTTGGGTTCACATTGATTAAGAGATTTTTCGTATGATATGTACAGAAGGTATGTTTGACTAATTAAGTCGAAAATGTAGTTTTTGTTGATATTATTTTTTGTATTTTACGAGCCTAATTTAGTAATTTACATAGTTCGAAAGTTGTATAATAATTGGTTAATTAGAAAGAATGGGAATATTGCTTACAGATTATATTACAAGATACTACATTAGCTTATATATTTTTCATACTAAACTGATAGATTAGTTCGATATTTTTTTTTTCCTTATGTCTTTTAGAAAGAATTAAGGCATAACAAACTAACTGGTCAATATTTTTTATATCTTTCATCTCATAAATAACTAACACATTTATCAAATATAATTACAAAATGATACCAAAAATAACCATTGAAGAATTTACAGTTTAAAATGTTCTACACATCTCACACTTTTTGTTTCAGTCATCTAACACATACGTCCTAGCTTCTTAAAAGATTTAATCTTTCGTGCAATAGTTACTTTTGGGAAGTGAAAGGGTAAAAAGGATCAAAAACAAGAAACTGAAGGACTGATATTGGCATTATATAAACTTTTCTATGAACCATGTATATATTCATTCACAATACATCATCATCAACTATCAAGGATTTCCAAGAGACCTCAAAAATGGAAAACCCAAAGCCCAAAAAAGAAAAAGTAAACTAAACTCACTTCCATAAAGCTAAAACAGGTCGATTAAATCCTGTTTTGCTTCCAGATAAACTCGCACTTAAATTCTCAATTTCACGAAACCCAATCTACAATTAAGAAACATAATAAATGTAAATTACCTCACTATCAATAAATTTAATCAAATAAATAGATCGCATGTTAAAAGGGAAAAAAAAAAAAAAAAAAAAAAGTATGAACCTTGTCCAGAAGAATCTCCTGAAATTTTTCCGGGAAAATCTCAAGCTTCTTGTAATTAGTCGCTGCTACCTTTTCATATAACAGAAAATAAAAAAATATTAATAACCAAAAATTACACCTTCAAATTAACAAAATGAATTGTAAAATCGTTGAAAGATAGATTTATGATATAACTAAATACAAACCTCTGACACTTGACGATTACTCACATATGATGTCCATGGTTGAGGTTCCAAAATGAAAACTCCACCCTAAGAATTAAATATGAAAATTTTAAATTAAAGAGAAAAGAGAAATGTCGATAATAATTTTAAAGCAAAATGACAAAAATGACCATAACACTTACAGGTTGAAGAAGCCTCCAAACCTTCGAAAACAATGTTATTAACCCCTCATCGCCCCAATTCAAATGAACCCATTTTGTAACACTTAGGCTGAAAGGTATAGCAAATAAAGAGGGCATTATCGTCTTTTGCACAAACAAGAGATTAGTGAATCCCTGTAATACCTTTTTGAGTGCGACAAAAGGCTACAAATTTTGTAATACTGACATCAGTCTCAATCTCAGTCAAAATACAGTATAATGTTGTGTGTATTGTCATGTCGTGTCCTGTGATTTAATAAAGGAAAAAATGAAATTACCAGAGAATGGTATCGTATTTCTCCCCTGGAGTTGACCAACTTTGAACGAAATTATCTTTCTTGAAAGAGACAATGTCAAATAAATGTGAAAGAGAATCCCCTGAATGTTGCTTTTTTATTTCACTCATCTTCACAATTTTCCTAAGATTCCAATGTGCATCCTCAATTCGGGCTGAATCTATGTCAACTCCAAGGATTTTCTGGCAACCAAAGTTTTTTGCTGAAATCAAGAAAATTACATTCAGATTTAATTGCCATAGAAACATAGAATCTGTTCAATGAGCTGAGTTAAACATGAAATTGAAGATTACCAATTGTAATGGTTATCAATCCGCTATTGCAACCAATGTCAAGACATGTTTTCCCTTCGAACCATTCCTTTTTCATGATCTTAATCCTAGGATCTTCTTCCAACCCTTGATCAATCTGCAACATGGATTAATCAGAAATGGATTGAATTTGCACTGATAGATGAATGCATGAGTATAGATATGAATGCTAAGCATTCACTGAAGAACTAGAGGATAAACAAATACTACTTTAGTGAGTTAAAATTCAACAATGAGCATAACGTTGCATAGAACAGATGAACAAAACTACCTATAACTATCCATGAGTTCAATCAAATGATTATCTGATTTCCCAATAATTACTTTGGAATTGAACATCAAAACACCTCGAAACTTCAGTTTTCCTTTTCCAAAGAAGAAAAATGTCATCTAAACAATTAACACCTAAAACATTTAAACCTCGTCAATACCTTTCAGCTCAAGCTGTGTGCGAAGTTTGAACAGATATAAGTCACACGCTAACGAGTTTAGCATCAATGTAAAATAGCAAACTTTATGTATTATAAATACATACACACGTTTGCAGAAATGAAAATAGAAGAACAAAAAGCGAAGTTATTTTGAGAAATTAGGGTTTACCCGATAAGTGTAGTAGTTCCTGTAGTTGCCGAAGATGGCAACTTCTTTCTGCTTTTTTCTCTTCTTCCCCGATTGCTGGTTGTTGGCATCTACTATTTTTACTTTGTTGTTCGTCGTTTGTTCTTCGTCTCCCATCTTTTAGGGTTTAAGACAGTCTAGAACAAGGAGGAGGACAGGGGTTACACGGAATACAGGGTTTTGTTGAAGCGAAGTGGGTGTATGTTTTAACTTATTTTTGAGGCTTTTTATTTATGAGATTATATTTTAGGCTTATGAGTGTTTGGATTAGTTATTAACTTAAGCTTAAGCTTTCGAGTTTATTTTATCTAAAAATAAGTCAATTTTTATAAACCATTCCAATTCATTTTTTCTTCAGCGCATTTATGTACATTTAGGTATTTACTTTTATTTTTTTCCCCACAACACCAGTAACCCTCTTCCCCATTTGTGTGAGGTAAACATGTTTATTTTGGTCATTTTACAAAAAATAAATTAACCCAAACATTATTTTTAAAAGAGCTTATTAGCTTTTAAGTCATAAGCAAATCCAAACAGTTTTTTATCTAATAAGATAATAAGCTCATTAGTTATTAAGCTATTAAGCTTGTAAGCTTAAGCACAAAAAACATAAGCTTACACAAACAACCCTGAAATGTGGGAAGTGATCAAAGTTAATTCTAGGGATTGCTTGGATTATATGACTATAAATATAAGGGCTAATTAGGTAAAAGCAACACATCAGGGCCATATGATATCATGATGTATGAATTCAAAGTGTAACCGAGATTTGTACAAGGGTTAATTGATTAGAATGGTAACAAACTTTGGTCTTTGTCAATATTTAAGTTTATTTTATATATATTTGACCATTAAATTTGTTTGACATGTTCAACATAAGGTAATATGACTAGTAATTACCGATAATATTATTTTCTTATAAAAAGGTCAAACAAATTTACTGGTAAAATATGTACGAAAAAAAATGGTTACTTAAATATGGACAAAAACCAAAGTTCTTTATCCGTTCCGATAATATTAGGTTATTTATGCTAAGTGCAAGTAGTCATAAGACTCACTGATGTGACATGAAATCAAGTTATCGGGTCTTGGTATCAGATTTGAAGTAGGTGTCGTTGATGGGTTCTTGACTTGATTCCTAGCTGCCATCAGAGAACAAAAATGTTAGAACCATATCAGGGACCGTACCTTGGGAGCAGACTACAATAGTCAAGTTAAATCGATTTGTATGAGAAGATGGTTTCTGTTGGATGAAGAACCATCTTGGTGGGAAGAGTGTATGTATAAAGTAGAGGCTTGTGCATGAGAATGATAGATTCTCCTCATTTAGGAGGAGGTGTTCTATTTATAGATCTAGGTCAATGGACAATTAGGTTAGGCTTAGGCTAGCCTGATTCAGGCCTATCTAGTTGTGGGCTAGGTTGTGCTACCAAGCTTCTAAAGTGCACGCAACCTAGCCCCTTAAGCGTATATAACCTAGCGGCTGACTAGATAAGACTAAATTGGGTTGATCTAAGACCTAACCATCTCATACACATTGATATAACTTTATCGTCGGAGCCTGCTATTGTGTTACAGTCCATGAGGCATTCTAATGGTCTACCATCTTGATCTTACACCAAGACCCGATTCCTTATCACACCAATGTGTCTTATGATACTTGAACTTAGCATAAAGAACTCAATATTACCAAAACGGGTAACGAACTTTGGTTTTTGTCCATGTGGTGTTCTAATGGTTTTGTTATCTGGCAAGCTAGTAATCAAGTCGGGAACTCACTAATGATACTTACTTCATATCTGCAATCCTGATCTAACACCAAGACCAAATCCTATGTCACATCAATATGTCTTATAATTACCCTGCGCTTAGCGTAAAGAACTCAATATTATCAAAACAGGTAAGAAACTTTGGTTTTTATCTATATTTAAGTAACAATGTTTTTTTTTCATACATATTTAACCAATAAACTTGTTTGACTTGTTTATTATAGGGTAATATAACCCGTAATGACCAATCATATTACCTTATTTTGAACAGATCAAACAAGTTTAATGGTTAAATATATACGAAAAATTAAGATTACCTAAATATGGACAAACATCAAAATTCGTTACCTTCCTACACCATTAACCTTTTATATAGCCATAAAAGTATTTTTATCTTGGAATTCATAGTTTCCCAAGGATTTGTGTAACCATAAAACTATTTTTATCTTGGAATTTAACAAAATGATTGTTGTACTTACAAATCGTATATTACATATTTGTGATAGTACTTTTTCTTGCTTACATCAAAACTGTTGAACATTTGTGATAATATTATTTTCCATGAAAAACTTTTAAGAGATACAACAGTTACAAAAATCTATGCTAAATAGAGCTTGCTAAGATATCGTGGATACTAAATAAATTTTCTGTCTAAAGTATTTATAGTTCCATATGTACTAGTTTATATACTATTTATCGCGGGGCATTTTTTAGGGCTATAAATTTTTATATATTACTGATGTAACCATTTCACCATGGACTATGAAACTCAGTTTGTTGGTTACTCGTGACATAAGTTATTGATCATTCCCCAATACAATCGTTTTACCATGTATATATAGTTTCAGTTTTCTAAATACTTACGAAACAACATATTTTGGTCTATTTAAAGGATTGGAGTTTCTACCAATTGGTAACTCTTATATGTTAAAGGATATTTTCCCAACCCAATATGA